ATGATCATATAAACGTGTGCCTCGGAAATAATTGTTTACATTAATGGTGACCAAAACGTTTGAGACCCACTGAGATAACACTGAGAGAGTCCTTTAGCTCACTGAGCCTCTCAGTCTGACAGGAGAGGACTCTCCTCCACCTTGTTGTTGAAAAAAGTCCTTATATCCGTTAGCGGAGCTCGCTAGCACCAGAAGCTAACAACAACGATCTCCGGTACCGGTGCGCTCTCTCTCTCTTGCTCGCGCACGCACACAAAATGGCTCGTTCCACACACACACAGAGCCGAGCTTTAATGAAACACAGAGACCCAGACGTAATAGTACTGTACTGTATCATATTATTTTCGAATCAATAATCTTTCAAAATATGATTTTTGTTTTGTTTTAATAACCATTTTTTCTCCTGGTCTCTTGCGCCCCCCGGGGTGTGTGTGTGTGTGTGTGTGTGTGTGTGTGTGTGTGTGTGTGTGTGTGTGTGTGTGTGTGTGTGTGTGTGTGTGTGTGTGTGTGTGTGTGTGTGTGTGTAAATCGGCGGAGCCGCAGCTGAGAAAAGACAAGGCTGAGTGAGTGTGTGTGCGGAGATCCGCAGAGCCGCGGCTGAGAAAAGATAAGGCTGAGTGAGTGTGTGTGTGTGAGGAACTTACACACACACACTCAGCCGTTACGCCACTATACTTGTTACGTCACTATACTCAGGAAATACACAATGGAAAATGAGAAATCTCCAACGAGGCGTCCTGGGGCAGCATAGACAGGTATTTTCTGTGTTAGAGTTTTACTCGCTACATAGGGTGTACTTTGAGGGTTTGTGACTCTGCAGACCGTTTACATGCAGAAAAACCTTCATAACACACAAGGGGACGGGTAATAACCAGAGAAGCATCTCATGGGACCTTTAAGAAAACAACACATACCTGCACCAGCTGAAGCAAATACTTTAGCACATCATCATTGGACAGGCTCTCCAATCTCTGGACAGCTAGTCTCCTGACAGTCATATCAGCAAAGTCCATGCTTAAGAGCTCTAACGCCACTGTTAAATCCAGTTCACTAGGATCCCAGTTTCCCAGGAGCCAGTGGACATCTTCAACCACACTGCGATTCATCCAGTCAACATTGCGTAAGAAATGGGGGAGATTCGAGGCGTAGCGGACACTCTCCTCCCGGAATCTTTTGAGGCAATCCCTGCTGGTAGTGGTGACTGGAGACCGGGATCTGAGAGTGACTGTGTCAGTCAATGAGTCCTTCCGAGGTTTCCCATTCTGAGAGGACAAACCTGTGCTTGATAAGGTGGATTGTGGTGAGTTGGAGGGCTCATTAGAGGAAACATCAGATGTTGTCGGGCTGAGACTGGAGGTGGGCAGAACCACAGGGAAACTGTAGCGGTCTAAAAGGAAGCTGATAGCCATCGAGTCAGCTATGTCTGGGTTGGTAGCAGAGGACAACTTGTCCGCTTGATAGGTGATGGCCTCTTCCTCCAGGTCAAGGAAGGACCACATGTGCATGGTGTGGGGGCCCTGGCTCAGGACGGACCTGCAGGGGCCAACAAGTGTACAATTTGAAAAGAACCCTAAACCCAGCACATACAGTTTTTCTCAATTCCAGGCTGCATTTCTTGTTAAACATACATCATATGCTTCAAAATTTGACACTAAACATACCCCGCTAGGTTCACCTTGTCAAATGAATGACTCTATCTGCTGTAGTGATCATGATGAGAGTAGAGGAAGATGTTGGGTGACAAAAGACAAACATTGGACTTTAACCCTATTCATGTGAGTGTGAAAGCAAAAGTCAATGCTGATTTATTTGTAACCTACGTATTCAACTTAATTTACATACATGATAAACCTAAACCTAAAGAAATGTCTTGTTTGAATTCACACCATTGACTACCTCTTGAAGTCTTAAGTTCTACCAGGTTTGTTGAAAAATAAGGCTGAGGGTACCAACTGCGTTAAAAAGTGATTCCTGACATGCACATCCTTATATGTTGAGTTGAGAATGTAAATGTGTTGCTTTTCATCATCTAACACTGTAAAGACACTGATTAAAAACGTCACAAAGTTGTAATTGATATTAAAAAACCATACCTGTGATCAATGAGAAGAAGATTGACGAAGTAGAGCACCTTGCCCTTCCCTTTCTGCAGGTCTGCTGCCTTGACCGAAGCTAAAGGCGACCTTGAGTCTTTGTTTACTGAAGGCTTTGGGTCTTTGGTTACAGGGGAGATGTCACCACCACTACCAATGATAGTGAAACCCAGTTTGGCACCACGAGGCAGATCCCTGAGCAGAACATCAAAGTCCAGCCACTCATTCCACAGCACTTCATCTGCAAAGGTCTTGGATGTGGAGGACACTGAAGAGAGAACCTTGTTACCATAAAGTATGGAGGCTTTCACATTGACAGACTGAGGGGATTTGCTTGGGAGTTTTGGGATGTCAAAGCCAAGCAATTTCACTCGAAGTCTTCTGTTGCAGTCCCACAGTGAAATCATGAAAATGTCATCCAAATCCTTCCCTTCGAGGCGGATATCATCATGAGAGCTGAACTGACCACTGGATCCATCAACAAGAGCCCAGTCCGCATACTTGACAGTCTCACTGACAAGCTGCGACACATGGACAACAGAGAGGTGGAGGTCCTGGTTGTTTTTTAAGCACTGTCGAACCCACAGGAAATCATGCAGGGGGCTTTCTCCAGATAAAAACTCCTCCCTCCCGGAGACCTTCAACACCAGACCATCAGAAGTGTCATACTTAATTCCCTGGTCTGCCATCACCCTTCTGAAAACGTCAAGTAGAACACTTGGTGTTGTACTATAAGCCACGTGTGTGCTGAAGCTGATCTTGTTCATGTAATGAAAGCTAACAGGGAGATTTCTGTTAAGCTGGTCCTGTAGGTCATTTGGAATGGGGGTGCTCGTTATCCAAGGCTCTGTGGTATAGATCTTGTCATCCCGATCCCTCAACTCTTGTCTTCTCGGAGATGCCAGTTTCCTGCGAGTAAATGTGAGTTCACCAAGTCTATCAGACGCTTCTTTCTCTAGATTGTGTCCAATCAGGTAAGCCAGTAACTGCTGCTGTTTCATCTTCTCCTCCGAATCAACTGCCATGAGTGGTTTAACTACTATGTGCGCCAACAGACGCCCGGTGTCGTCACATGACCATGGAATGTCTAACGTCCTGACGACTTGGCAGTCATCATAGGCCTCATACCAGTCTTCCCCCCTGGTGTAAAGCAGAGTGTATTTCTCTGGGTCCAGAACTGCAAGTGGGTCTGGATGGCAGTTTTGTTCCTGTGCCTGAAGGTAGAGACACATTTTGGGAAAATGTTGATGGTTGCAGCTTGATTATGTATTAGAGTCTACAGCCACACTAGCAGCTATGTTAGGTTGCATTACACACAGATCACCCATTGTAGCCATGCCTCATACCTAGGGATGGGTATCATTAGGATTTTATGGATACCGATACCGATACTGCTTATCAATACCAGTATTTTTTGATACTCTTATCGATACTTTTCAATAATTTGGTGCTCGAAATTATAGACATGATTACAAAATGTGTAGATTAAACAACAGTCATTTTATCGTAATTTATTTTTGTTTATTATTTAATGTAACTTTTTCAATGTCATACCAAGCAGGTATGAGTGTGTTTGACAGTGTGTCTCTGGAAGGGGGGCGGTAATTAGGGGCAGTTCATAAATCCATGTAAACATGACCATTATTCAGTTAAAACGAGACGCTGCGTGTGCACCTCCTAAACAGGAAGCTCCGGTCGGCTAACCATTATAATCCGTTTATTGCGTTTATTATTAATAATTGTAATGATGTATCAGTAATCATTTTAAAGTTACACAGAGACATTGGATTAACTTTTGTTCTGCCCTTAAACACAACTTTTGATCACAAAACAGCAAAGGTAAGATGGGTAAGACATAACTATCATCATGGCTACGTAAAATGTTTTCTTGCTCTTTCCTGGCTGCTAGTTCAGTGAGTTTTGGTCGTACAGTGATGAGACTTACACCAATGGAATCAGCTTTCATGTGATATGTTGTTTGTGCAGATAAAATGACGTAGAAAAGATTGCTTTTGCCAGTTATGTGCTAAAGTAGCCGTTAGCCCTGTTAGCCCCGATAGCCTGCTTTGCTAAGTGTTGATTTAGACTCTTGGTGTTGGACTTCTGTTCCGTGTAGGTAAAATGGTTAATATCGTCTGTTAGCTGAGTTTTTCCCGTTAAGTGGGTATGCATCATTAATAGGTTGTTAAATATTAAGAAGCCTTGAGACGCTGTTTCTACAGTAGCAAGATGTTGCGTCTGCCCCTATGGTCTGCCCCCGGGAGTCTCACAATAATAAGAGCGCTGTTAGGAGAGATGACGAGTGGCATTCACAGTGGCCAATCAGTGGTACTCAAGCCGGATACGTCACACAGGAGGTGGTTCCCAACCAACCAGAATTGTTTAAACTAAGGAAGTAGCGTAATTCATATACCGATAGCAGCACCGTTTGTCCAGCGGCTTAACGGTATACCAATACCGTCCAATCAGGTACCGGTACTGACTTAGTACCGGTTCTCGATACCCATCCCTACTCATACCCCTCTATTTCAGCCCCATTACATAAGTGCTGAATCTGGGTCTGGCCCTTTGAATGTAACCAAGCTGCTGCTGGCCACGCCCCTTTAGAGATCACGCAGTGAGCTCTCCTCTCTGAAGGGAAGAACGTCTGCCAGCAGAAACTCAGCTAAACGTTACCGCGGTGAAGTTATTTTAGGTTGGATATTCGACAGACATTCGCGGACCAGCCAGCAGCGTCACCCCTCGACTCCACCGGGTCCGTCTGCGCAGCGTCACGGCTGTGCCGCGATTTTGGTCCGGCCTCCTCCGGCATCATACCCTACCGGGCGCGTTTCAGAAGCATTTCAGAAGCGGAGCGTCTTGCGTGCCGGCTCGCAGTTTTTGTTGATTTGGGCATATTTCCTGGATAGGCTTTGTGCAGACAAAGTTAATAATAATTGTAATATTCCAGTTATAAACGACATGAATCAAGGATGTGTTGCTGTATTTTAGTGGTAAAAAAATGCATTCATCATCATAATCATTCTATAATTTACACAGTGCCTGTAAACCGAAAGAAAGACTACGGAGGGATAGCGTCTACAAAATTAGTTTATTTTGGGGATGGGCCGGATGCTCTGACCGTTCCACTTCCTGCCCGGCTCCTCTGCAACGCCTCACGAAAATACGCCTCTGAGCCGTAACACGGCGCGTCTGGTGAAATAGCACCCATTGACTAGAGTCGCCGCGATCTTTGCGAACGCCGCGGCGCAGCTGTAATGCGGCCGTAACGCGGCCGTAACGCGACGCAGACGGGGGTGAAGTGTCTTGCCCAGGGACACAACAACATGCTGACTGCAGTGGGGTTTGAACCTGTGACCCCCTGATCCGAACACCTAGGGACAACCCACTATGCCCCCAAATTACACAAGAACCATGTTCTTTTTAATAAATCGACAGCTTCCCGATCGTGTGAATGTGAAGCAAATCCACTCTAGAGCTACCTGTTTTGAACACATCTTTTTATTCCATTTTAATACTTTAAATACGTTTTATTAATATTTTGATGGAAGAATTAGCTTATTTCTTCAATAACTTCCAGGTCATGTGACCGAATCACTCAAAAATCAGTGCTGGGTCAAATAACTACACTGGCTGCATAGGACACACCTCTTTTTATTGCATTGTAATACTCTAAATATTTTTATATTAATATTTGTATGGAAAAATGAGCATATTTCTTCAATAACTTCCAGGTCATGTGACCGAATCACTCAAAAATAAGCTATGCATCAAATAACTACACTGGCTGCATTTTGACACACCTCTTTTTGTTGCATTTTAATACTTTACATATTTTATATTAATATTTGTATGGGGAAATTAGCATATTGCTTCAATACCTTTCAGGTCATGTGACCTAATCACTCAAAAATCAATGCTGGGTCAAAGAACTACACTGGCTGCATAGGACACACCTCTTTTTATTGCATTTTTACTTTACATATTTTTATATTAATATTTGTATGGGGAAATTAGCATATTGCTTCAATACCTTTCAGGTCATGTGACCTAATCACTCAAAAATCAATTCTGGGTCAAAGAACACTGGCGGCATAGGACACACATATTTTTGTTGCATTTTAATACTTTACATATTTTATATTAATATTTGTATGGGGAAATTAGCATATTGCTTAAATACCTCTAGGTCACATGACTGTGTTAGCGATGCTTGCTAATATAAACACAGACCATATCACTTCCAAAACACATCGCGCATTGATTCTGATACAGTGACGTTTCAGATGGGGGACGATTTGGTGGGCGGAACATTGCCAGGAGTTTAATGTAAAGCCAGCCCATATTTTAGTAATGTCGTCATGACCGCAGCAAATCTAAATCAGCTCCGTTGTACCCCCGTTTTTAGAGATGTGACTAAGGATGAAAAGAGAGACACTTTGTGAGTTCCCTTACACACCGGGGACACTTATTTATGTATAAAAGACATCAATAAGGGCATTTTGCATAATAGGTGACCTTTAAGCTACAAACCTAATATAATCCTAAAACAACAGCAACAAAATGCAATATACACATGAATGCAGCAGTAATAATACCAACACCAAAACACTCACAGGAAAAATTTACTTCAGTTCGCCCAGTGAGTTTACAAGTGCAATTTCTGATAACACTTTCCTTTTCTTAAGAAGGGCTTTGAGTCCATGCATTTTACCGTTTAACAGTGTAATTATAGATTTTTTACTGAAGTAAAGGATCTAAATACTTCCACTACTTCTTGAAGAAAGCAGTGACCGACAAACATAACACAACATAACATTACTAGCACTGCTAGACCTTTTCCTGACCCGTTTTCTTCTATTCCAAAGAACCAACCACCACCACAACCTTAAAAAAAACGGAATACCTCTTCCTTAGTAAGCTGAGCATTGTATTTATCTATAAAAGTGTTCTAAGCTGTTCCCGGTTGCAATGGCCAGCTAAACATTTGTATATATTGACACAGCTTGAATAAACCTCGAGAAATAAAACCCATCTTTAACAAAAGGGGTAGCCTACCTGCAAACAGATGCGTAGCCGTAGCTGGTAGACACTGCACTGCGCAGGTAGAAGGACCGACACAGATTTATTGTAATCCCCATCTCCGGGCGCCTGCGGTGGACCAGGCTCGCGCTGAAACTCACAGATAAACTTCAGGGTGTTCTCTGAGCAGCTTCGAGTCGACATCCCAGACAGACAGTTCAAAGCACTGTCCTCCTGACTCAGTAGCAAAGCAGGATCCATTGATACGTGAAAATCCGATTCCTTTTCAAAAAACTGATTCTAACTGATAGTCAGATCAGGGAAAATCGTTGACAAAATTTAAAATTAATCTAGAATACAGGTGCAGTTCCCCTGAACTTTGAGTCTGTACCTGTTTGACAGCTGCTTCCCTTTTTATGATTGCTCTGGGACTTCCTCATTCTTTCATACCACAGTTCGCAAACACTAGCGTAGATATAAATACGACGAAGAATTTACTGACCTTATAAAGGGGTTAACTTCCTTGTTTGCTAAAATAACAGATCCTAATCTTTTTCCCTGGCATTTTCACACTTAACAGACATGGGTAAAAGTACTTTCTCAATGTTCTGCTTTAAAATAAAAGCAATACACAATAGGAGTGTGTTTGCTTTACCAGTGATCATCATGCTATGTGCTCAAAAATATGACAACATTAACAAAGAGGAAAGAGCTCATGATCAAACATGTGCAGAGGGAGCAGTGCTAATGGATTACAGGAATGCCTCAAACCGGTTTGTGTTGTTAGGCTTGATGTTCCGCAAAGGAACTGCAGAATGGATTATGGGGAGTGATTAGTAAAATATGCATGAATAATAAATAAAAATGTTAACTAGGTGAAAAAAGGTAAGATAAACTTTTAAAAATTGTTGAGAGCTAAAACTAGTCTTTGCTGCTGCCTCAAAGAGGAGCAGGGGGGAGAGGAGGGAGACAGGAGAGGCTGTTTCAGGAGCCCTGAGACACTCACACATACTGTACAGTATAAATGAACCAAAAACAAATGAATATACAAGTTTCAATGTTTTTTCATATTGGATTATGGCCATGTTCTTATGATTTGATGATTATTTAAAAGTATACAGTTCTGTTTCATATAGGTGTAATCTCTTTATTTCCCCCTCAAAGTGCACCAGATTGATACATTTAAGTCCAACATTTTACTATGGATGCTGGCAACAGTCACATAGTCTAACTTCACTTTGGACTATGTGACTGTTGCCAGCATCCATAGTAAATAAAGAATCAGTGATCTACTTATTTATTTATGAGCGACTAAAAGGCCTTAGGCCTATTACAGCCGTATCCTATTGATAGGATTTGAGGTCCACCCCCAATTAAAATATGTTCACATAAATAGGTTCCTGAATAGATTTGCAATTTTTTTTAAATAGTAACCCATCTCCATATGTTTATTTTTGGGTAGTAGATTTAAACTAGAGGGCTATCACTATGGGCAGCAACGCTGTAAATATTGACAAATAAATCCAGCAAAATGGCACAAAAAACTGGTAGTGGCCTGGCTGGGTGTATAATTCCCGGCCTGATTTATTGTCCCAGTCCGGCCTTGTGCTCCGCGGATTGGTCAATTTGGGCCAATCCGGTCATTTGTTGTTGATTTGGGTGTCACAGAACCCAGGAAGAAAACAATGGAAAAAGACAAATCTCCAACTAGGCGTTCTGGGGCAGCATAGACAGGTATTTTCTGTGTTAGAGTTTTACTCGCTACAGGGTGTACTTTGAGGGTTTGTGACTCTGCAGACCGTTTACATGCAGAAAAAGCTACATAACACACAAGGGGACGGGTAATAACCGGAAAAGCATGACATGGGACCTTTAAGAAGTTTAATCATTCTTTAGTTGCTATGAGTTGATGTTGTAAGGATTATGTAATCAGCAAACATTTAATTGAAACAATTGGTATCAACATTTTGCAAAAAGGTCAAATGCATACACAATAATGGTTGTCTTGATCAAAGGGAAGTATATTGTTACTGGAGGCTTTGTGCTGTATAATATCTAATCTAACCTAGAAGAGGAAATACTGTAGGTCTGCTTTGAATTTGCCTGCCGTAAAAACATCAAACAGGACCTACTATATCTGAACATAATTTAAAGGTTGATGATGGCTCTTTCCTGCGTTTATGAACACCTTTATTCAACAGTTACTGTGTCATGAGATACAGCTATGTGCTAATGTGTACGCCAAATATGCACAATTTGTTACCAAGCACCTCTAAAGCCTTTGTTTTATCCACAGTCCTCCAAGAGTAGTTGTCATGTATTCAAATACATACAGTCTTTGCAAAAGATTGGTTGGATTCCATTTTTTATAGTAGTGTTTTTTGTTCTGAGAATAAAGTTAGAATTCTGAGAACAAATATTTTGACTTAAATCTCGCTAAATAGGCACTTTCGGTCATATAAAAGGACAGGTGGCCCTAATCCTCTTCCATAGAGATGACATATATACATGTTTAAGTTTCTTTTTGAAGACTGCAAATGAATGGCAATAACAACTAGCTGGGAATACAGATTTTTCCACCTAAACATTTAATTTGGATGTGCTTTAAAATGTATGTTTGTTTGAACAGTTTTAGTCGTCAGTCCTGTGCTTCTATATCTCTTTAATTCTTCCTGAATAAGGACTTAAAGGACAAAGGTCTGAATAATTGGGAGAATATAAGTGAGAAAAAAAACACCTGGATACCGTGTTAACCTGGTTATAGACTCATAGACTATACTTATTGAAGATTATTACATTTTTTTAATTTAAGTTATAGAGAACATGTAAGCGTACAAGAGGCAAAAAGACACATTTAATAAGAGAAGCAGTTTGATATTGGGAATGTTTTATTCAAAATGTCAACACAGCATATTTTGGAGTTTCATTAATGTTCTAAAAATTAAATACAAAAATAAGGTGCCACAACTCGACATCAATCTTTTGCATAAAGCCTACACATAAATACACAAATAAATATGATTGCAAAAATAAAACTATATCATACACACAGGCCAGTGCAAATGTCAGCATAGATTAAAACTATCAGACACAAGTACTGGCACAAGCAACAAATAAGAATCAAGAGCACAACCAGGCTTAAAGCTTTAGTCAAGCATTTAATCAAAAAAGGCAAAAAAATAATACAGGCAACTAAGGTAAAAACGCTAAACAGCTAGGACAGTAGCTTACTTTTAGGAGAGTCTCTTGCAGCACTTCATGCTACACAGACACGACGAACTGGCACTGACCAAGGCAACAGCACAAACTAAAAACACAGGAGAGGAGTAATGATTAGGGACAGCTGAGGCTCATTGAGGCCAGGCAGGTGATACTCAGGGAAGGAAAACACATCAGGTGAGGGAGTGAGGCGATCAGCCAGGGCCAGGATGTGACAGTACCCCCCCTCAACGACCGGCACCGGACGGTCCAGGCCTGTGGAAATCCCGGATGAGATCTGGGTCGACAATGTTCTTTGAAGATACCCATTCCCTCTCCTCAGGACCATAGCCCTCCCAATCCACCAGATACTGGCGTCCACGACCCCGCCGGTGAGCCACCAAGAGCCGCTTGACAGAATAAACTGGCCCTCCATTGATGAACCGGGGGGCGATGGGGGTCTGGAGGCAGGGACCAGAGAGCTCTCCTTGACCGGCTTGATCCGAGCCACATGGAAAGTCGGGTGTGCCCTCATAAACCTGGGAAGCTTGAGTCTCACAGCAACAGGGGCGGATCTAGACAAATATTCATGGGGTGGCAAGAGGGTGGCAGGAGAATTTGAGGGGTGGCATCCCCTGGCAGAAGTATATTCTGATTTAATCGCAGTCAATGTTAACTTGGAAAGCCACAATATTGATATTTTAACTCAATAACATTAGGTGACATTATTGTGGCACATTAGTAAAGCCTTAAATATAAATATATAAGGTGGCAGACATAATTTAATGAATTTTAACTGAATGAGTTGGTTTAACTCTTAGACCAGCAGGGGTACCAAATATGCAGACTGCTGCAATAAATTAATTAATTAACTGTCTCATCGATGTGTGTCTGTATGAATATGATAATATTAACAATCATATTATTCCTATCAGCTGTCAATCACTGTTATGATTCACATCTTCAGTGTTATTATTAAATAAACTATATTTTTTGGAGGAGTTAATGATGAATGTTCCTCAAGATGCTTGCTCACCCTCCTTCAAATTTGAAAGACCAGTAATTACCATCATAATTCAAAAGAATCAAAGGAACAGTTCAGCGCCCCACAACTTCATTGCAAACAGTTACAACCTTGACTTTACATCAGAAAGAACAAACATTAAAGAAGTTACTAGCTGCATCAGTTAGGGTTAAAAAAAACGTGTATTCAGCTAAAACATACATCGCTGCAGTTATTATCCAGTGGAATTTTTTGGGCTGGGCAGTGAAGTTTTACACACCGTCTTATTTGACTTTCGCTGGACTTCAAACTGTTTTTTGGGGTCAGACCCCCACAAAGAAGAAACATATATTTATGTAAGGTCATCATCTTAACAGTTTATTATTCTCATCGGCTCATCCGTGAGCAGAGCATCAAGTTGGCATGCCTATAACAGCTGAATGTGGCGATTACCATCTTGATCAGCAAAACGCCACACAAACTTATTAAGATTTAAAGCTATGGTGCGTTTTGATTCAATGCTGAGTACAGCCAAACTTGACAGGCTCTTCTCTGTCATAGTAGACCGCAAACAGTTGCGGCGCCAGAGTATTTGTGTTGGGTAATCTATGGTAGGGCTAACCCATACAGTGGTGGGGCTCAAGTCAGTATTTACAATGTAATTACATACAGGCTCCCCTTGACAGTGAAACGCCACACGTGAGGTTTATATTATTTCCCTGTCTCAATCCAAATAACTGTATGAAATAAAAAAGCACATTTGTCTTGTAGTAAATAAAAAGGGCGACCTGGAGCCAATCCTGCAATTTCCCCACAGGTGAAAGAGTTGAAAAACC